CACTTCTGGTGCAGAGCAGGACTCAGTGGTGGGACGTTGAGGCAGAGCTAAGTTTCACAGGCAGTAGAAGGGCACGTGGTGGAGGAGAGCACACCAAGGTCAGCTGGAGATGCTGAGGATCTGTGGACCCATCCTGGGGAAATTCCCATGCAGGAGCTTTGCTTGCCCTTCTCCAGAGTGGCCTATCTTGTGGATATGTCTGCCATCAGACTGCTCGCACCACTAAGATGAGTATGTGCCTTTCTACTTGTTATTTTCCATAAAACAGCAGTGGTATTGTTGCCAGCACTTACTTGATAAGCCTAATCCTGTGTGGGGTGGCAGATAGGGCCGTGAAGAGCTAAAGGCTGTCCTCGGGTGGGTGTGGGTCCCCCGAGCTGTGACTCTTCTTCCTACCAGCATTTGCCCCAGCAGTGGCGAGGCTCGCTGGCTTCTTCCATCCTCTTGTATTTTCTTGTGGATTTACTAGCTACACTTGTCCTTCCTTCTTCGAGTAGTGGCAGTGGAGCCAGCACTGTACCTCGGAACCACACTGTCTCTGATGCACTTCATTCCTTGGGAGGCAGCTTTCATCTGGCATCATTTTTCTTCTGGCTAAGTAACCTTTAGTGGTTGGTTGTTCTTCTAGCACAGATCTGGAAACAGTGACTTCTTTTAGCTCACGTTTGTCTGAAAAAAAATAATATACTTACCAATAGGCACTTTGATTTGATAGAGGATTCTGGGCCAGCAATTTCTGCTCCCACTGATGAGGCTCCACTGCCCTTCGCAGGCCTGGTTTCTGATGAGAAGTCTGCAGTTGCTCTTATTGTCGGTCTTTGTCCCGGTGGAGCCTCTTTGTCTCTGGCTGCTTTATAGATTTTCTCTGGACTTTCTATACTGACAGTTTTAACTGATTTAATTATGATATGCTTCATATTATGATGTGATATGTGGTTCTTTGTTTTTACCTCTTGTGGGATTTTTTGAGTTTCCCCAACTGAAGGGCATAGCTTTCAGAGCATTTG